GTTGTGCCTTTTCCCTGGTTGCTGTGAAGGATCTAATACAGCCCACTGTTTCTGTGGCCTTAGCACGAAGTCCATAGGAACCTGAGTTAGCGACTTGGGAGAGGCACTGGGCAAGCAAGACTTCTACCAAGTCATTCCAGGCAGTGACTTACATCTGGGTCTGTCCCTTCTCCTGCTATTTTAGATATACCCAGTGGAGATTGTTTTGTTGTTAGTGGTGGTTTTATTTTTTGTTTTTGTTGGTGGTGGTTTGTTTGTTTGTTTTTTTGGGGGGGAGAAGGCAGGGTTTCTCTGGATAGCCCTGTCTGTCCTGGAACTTTCTCTGTAGACCAGGCTGGCCTCTACCTAGAGATCTGCCTGCTTCTGCTTCCCAAATATTGGGATCAAAGGTGTGTACCACCACCACCCAGCAAAAAAGCTGTTTTGTTTTCTACTTATTTTTTTCTTTGTAGGAGACTTATGATATATTATTGGTGTTAAACCCATGCCATCCCCAAAATGTTATCTTTTGAAATAATTCATTTCAGCATAAATTTCTTTGGCAACTCAAGTTATTCTATAGGTGAAATAATATTTTTATTTTATTTTACCTGTTCCAATAAAGATAATTCTTCTATCTAAGGATCTCTGGGGTTAAAATAGGTTTTATTGTTACATAAGAGGAAAAAGAAACCTTTCAACTTTGAAAAACAAAACCTTTCAACTTAGATTTTTTAAAAAAAAGCCAGTATCCCATCTCTTTGTGACACTTTCCCCAAATGTGTTGCGAGGATGGAGAACTCAGCATGCTGACTCATACAGACACAGTTACACGTTTTATGACGTCAGACATACTGTCAGATCAAAGGACTTCAAAGCAAGGAGAGGGCAAACCTTGGACAAAGAGACTATGAAAGGTTAGATGCTTCTGAGAGCTGAGCAACCACGGGGACTTGCAGGATTCAGGAATGTGTATGGAGTCACTACAAATTCCACTCAAAAGGTGTAGGTTGTAACCTGAGGTCAGAAAAACCTGTGTTTCTGGCCTCTGCTCTACCCTCATTTGTGTGAATGGGGGTGATGGGAGCCCTTGCATTCCTCAGCTTTGGCATTTGTAAAATGATAACACCGGGCAGCCATACTTTCCCCAGCATCCTTGAGCTGTATGAATTTCACCCTTCAGAATTTCTCTGATCTTAAGCAGATAGTAAGATAAGTAAGATAAACAGTAACACATCTACTTTATTTTGGTGCCTTCTCTCCCCCAGGGTTTGGGTAGATTTTTGCAAAAGAGGAAAATAAATTGCGGTGCTGGTGACCAGACTCCAGACCTTCTCACACTGCCATCAAGTCACAGCCCGAGAATGTGATTCTGAACTAATTTATTCACATGGGTCTCAAATTTACTCCATAGATCCAGCAGGCCTTGGGCTTCTGACCCTCCTGTTTCAGCCTCCTGAGTGCTGGGGTGATGGAGGAAGGTCATTGGTTAAATAAAAAGAAACTGCTTGGCCGTCATTGGTTAGGTGGGAGGAGTAAACAGAACAAAACGCTGGGAGGAAGAGGAAGTGAGCTCAGACTCCATAGCTCTCCTCTCGGGAGCAGACGCCTCAGAGAGACGCCATGCCCTACTCCCGGGCAGACACACGCGATGAAGCTCCAACCCAGGATGGATGTAGGCTAGAATCTTCCTGGTAAGACCGGTGCTCACAGATTATTAGAGATGGGTTGATCGGGATATCAGAATTAGCCAGTAAGGGCTAGAGCTAAAGGGCCAAGCAGTGTTTAAATGAATACAGTTTGTGTGTTGTTATTTCGGGGCATAAGCTAGCCGAGCAGATGGCCGGGGTGCTGGGAATGCAGCCCCGCCGCCCATTTTACTGCACTGGTGTTTAAGTGTTTGCCACCATGTCTGTGTAGACACTTGTGACTTAATAATAACAAATAGGAATAACTAGACTATGTACTCCTGAAGTTCTAGCGTTAAATGTTTAATTAATTGAAATATGCAGCAATGTCCACTGTGGCCAAAGGCTGATGACAGAACACTTGCTCCATAAGAGCCTGCCAGGTACCAAGTTCTGGGCTTTCTAGGTATCACCTTCTAGCGACCACTTGACAGTCCCCTGTTCTGGTCTTGTCATTTTCCTTTTACACATGAGATACGCTGAGCCCCAGGAGACTGGCATTCATTCTCCAAAACCATAAGAGCAGTAGACAGGGTAAAGGTTAAACCTGACATTCCTCAAGTCTGAGGACAAAATCGTGGATTATGGTTATTTCAGATTGGAGGCAATCACAAACAAATAATAACTATTTGGTGGGAAAATTCCATAAGAATAGAGAGAGGCATTCTGCCAAAGAGTGGCCCTCACAGGCAGTTCTAGCTGCAGTTTTCACTCCGGCCAGTGGAGGCAGGCCCACAGCAGCCCTGACATAGAGTCAGCCAGCTTGCCCAGGGCAGAGAAGGCTGTGTTTCTCAGCTACACCCTGTCCTTGGCTTGTATCCTTAGCTGAAATGCAGAAGCAGGCTCGGTCTCACCAAGTGGCCAACTTCCAGTGGCCTCTATTTCCTTCTTCTTTTCACAGGAACCTTCAGACTAGAGCATGCACCAGCAGGCAGCCTTACTACTGTCAAGTCAGCTCCTGTTCAGCCTACAAGCACTCTGTTGACCTGGGAAAGTGCATTCAGGACTGGCAGATAGGCTTTTAAATTCCACCACACTCCCTGTTCTGGCTTTAGTTCCTCCACCGAGCATGCAATTTCTGTGACTTGCTTTAGAGTTCCTCACAAGATGATAAATTCACTTACTCTCCTGGGTTTGTCCAATAAATAACCAGTCCAAAATCATTGATTTTACTATTTCTACATCCCAGGCCAAAACAAGGGTATTTCATTTCTTTGTGGTCAGATTAAGGTGAGAGAGAGAGAGAGAGAGAGAGAGAGAGAGAGAGAGAGAGAGCTTCAGCCTGGCACTGCCATGTCTCCTAGAAACCAATCGCAGCCAGGTGTGATAGCACACACCTTTAACCCAGCACTCTGGAGGCAGAGGCAGGCAAATCTCTGGGAATTGGAGGCCAGCCTTGTTTGCATAGCAAGTTCCAAGCAAAGAAAGAAGTTCCTCTCACTATCCTCCCCTCTACTCCCCATCCCTCTGGAGTGCCTGACCTCTATATCCGGCTGTATCTACAATCTGCCACGTTTACTCTGTTAGCTTCAGGGCCTGGCAGGCGGCAGGCAGCTGAACAGAGACATGAGGCTTCCTACATGTCTTCTAGTGTTTCTTTCAGATTACCTGTTTTAGATATAATCCCCTCCCCTCACCTAGTTTCTCTGTCTAGGATCTCAGAAAGTATTAAATGGAAAATCTCGGAGACAATAAGCATCCCTCATATGCAGGTCCGAACAACATGAGGAGCCTCTCACACTGCTCTGCTGCTGTCCTTCAGAACATGACTCATGACTTCCGGCAATGCGCTAGTGCTGTGCGCCCTGCCTGCCCAGCAGCCACGCGGTGCCCTCGCAGCGATCAGATCCACTGCGGTGATGTTACGGAGATTTAGTTCACTTAAACAGAGCCATGAAGTGCAACAGTGAAAATACGAAAGGGCTAGGGTACAGAGCGTGAAAGGGACAGGTGAAGCCCAGCGCCTTATGAAAGGACACAGAGGGAAAAGAAGCAAATCACGGTGCCGGGCAACCTGTGGTGGAAAGGGTCTCTGAAGAGAAAAGGGCACTTGCTCTACTGTTGCCTGTGCCTGCTTGTATGCTTCTTGGTGACTTCTTAGGGAGCAGAGATTGCACCTTCACTGTTGGTCCATCTTTGTGCTTCCCGCATCCCTAGGCTGCAGGAACTCCATAACCAATGTAGAGGTAACACCTCCCTAGGCTGCAGGAATTCTATAATGGAAGAGTGGTTTCAGAACCAAATCCTGGTTAGGAGGTGTTCCTGAGGTATTCAAGTAGCTGAGACGCACAGTTTTAGGGTGCTGTCAGGGGTGGGGACACATGACTCAGAGTCACTACATTTCCTGAGTAATTGACCTTTTCAGCTTCCTTTAGTCTGAGGCAAGATGTCCTGGAACAGGAAAAAAAATGAAAAAGAGCATCCCTATTCAGAGGTAAGTAATTAGTTCTTAGCCAGTCGGTAAATCGTCCAGTTTTTCGGGTTGCTCTTCCAGTATCAGGCCTGGGTGACAGACCTGCCTAGGGGCTTACAGGCTCTGAGCGAAGAGGCAAGAGCGGCCTTGTCCCTGCTGGACCCTGTGGGTCCTCTCCCCAGGAGATGCTGAGGAAGGACCTGAGAGGGGACTGAGTTCCAACCCTCTCCAATGTGCGGCTTTGGACTGATGTGATTAGCAGCAAGCACAGTTGCTTTCAGTTTGGTTTTCAGGATTATGCTTCCCATTTCTTCCTTTTCCTTAAAATTCAATTAAAGCGGCACTGTTGACTGAACCCTACAAATGGATAAAGAACCGAAATGCTAAGGGAAATTTAAATGAGGAAAGGCCTCGGGTCCGGATGACAACACGGTAGAGGCCTAAGGATAGCTCTGGAGAGCACAGAAAACCTCAGGGGAAGCAACTGTGGTCCCTGTTGGAGCCCACTGCGGAAACACAACCGCAGACCTCTGAGAACTTTATGCTCCACCTCTCTCCCAAGGGCAAGCTTAGCCCAAAGTGGGCTAGTCACACCTTCCTGCCCACATCACGGTTTTCCATCCCCCCCAACGTGATACGTGAACTTGACTTAACTGTAGGGAAGACTGGCCCAGAGACACACCCTCGAAAGCTGTCAGCGCCCCTTCTAGGCCCCAGGTGAAGAAGGGTGCTTCAGAGATGTTAATGAAGAGGACTGGGAAACTTAGGTGTCCTGGGATTGGGAGACTAAGACCAGACTGGACTAGAAGCAACCAGAAGACTCCCTCCCGGCTTCTAGCGGCCCGGCCCAGCGCTCTGCCCTCTCCCGGAGGTCTGGGGTTGCACGGTTGGCGGCCCCACCCCGAGCCCCAGTCACCCACCTGGACACGCCCGGTCGTAGTCGAAGCAGCAGTCCCCGGTGAGACGGCAGGCTTGATCGCAGAAGCATGTTCCATAGACCCTGTCCAGCCTCCAGCCGCGGGCGAAGCAGGCTGGGTCCCGACCAGGGCAGCAGCGCCCGGCCTCTGCGCAGCCAGCCAGGGCCCCAGGCCACAGTCGTGTCAACGCGCACAGCACCATCCACAGGGTCCTCATGGCCAGAGCTGCGGTGACACCTGCGACCCGACCCAGCCAGAATCTCCGGGCCGCGCTCCACACCCCGCGACCGCCGCAGCCCCCGCCCCCGGCCCCGGCCCTCCGCCCTTCCGCGCCGCCCCTCGGCCGCCCTGGCTGCACGCCCGGCGGGCTCTGGGCGGGTGGCGCTCGGGCCCAGGTGGGACGAGCCTCTCCTCCCGGCCGCCAGCCCGCCGCACCCAGCCCGTCCCGGACCGCCCGGAGAGCAGCCGAGCAGGTGCTCGCTCGCGCAGCCCGCCCCTTCGGCCCCTTTTCCTGCCTCCAAACTCTGCCTCCCAACGTTTTCGGGGCGCGGGAGCCAGTGCGTGTTTGCGCCCAAAAGCCGTCCGATAAACGGCGTTCCGCTGCACCCGGGCGTCCCAGCTCGCTATGGAAAGCCGTCGGGAGGCTTTTCCCAAACCACTGCTTCGTCGACTCTCGAAGGCTCTGCCGGGCACACAGGAGCCAGCAGTATCTTACTGCCCATTTTATAGTGGCTTTTTCTCCCCCAGGAAAATGCTACTTTGCTCCACTTAAGGGACAAATAGATGAATATGAAGGAAATGGAGTAGAAACCGCTCTGTTTTCTGTTAAAGCCGATTTCCTAAAGGGAACCCTCACCAATAATGTTTTTTAAAATAACTTTCACTCTAAAATTGTTGTCCAACTTTGGACGTTTTTATTTGTTTGCGCTGCTCGCTGGTACTTGCGGTGCTGAGGAAGGAATCCAGACCATGTCCAACACAAGACTCTACCTCCGAGCGACATTGCCCACGAATTTAACTCTGGCTGTCTTGGAAATTACTACGTAGTTTTGACTGGCCTTGAACTCACGGAGATCCGCTTGCCTCTGCCTCCCAAGTGCTGGAATCACTACACCTGCTTCACCCCCAACTTTTTCTCTAAATATATTAAATTTTACAGACTTTATTCTTTATTCATCCAGATTTATTCTGAAAATTCCACTTTCAGTGGCGATCCTAAATCATTTAATTAGCACAGTTTTTGAAAAGAAACATTTTCCACATCTGAGAACTTAAGGAATCAAATTAAAGTCGGAGTCTAATTCTTTATACACAGTCTTCTCAAAGAGGAATTTATCTTATTGGAGAGAAAAGTATTGGAAGTAAACATTTTAAACTTCGCTACCAAAGTGGTGAAGCAATTTAGCAGCCAAGTATAAAAATCAAGCGTCCTGTGAAATGGAAAAAAAACAACCACATTGTCAGGGCTATATCTGATAAGCCCTAATCTTAGATTACTTTGACCAGTGTAGAATGCAATCTTCTTTGATTGTCCAAAGAAAATATACTCTAAAGAAAAAAAAAACCTTTCTTTGTGAGTTTGTACAAGTAAGTTCTCAGCATTGGAAAACTTTTTTGTTTTCCTTTCTGGCAAGTCTCCCTTCCTTTTACAGTTTAAAGAAATAATATGTACTCCTTTGTGGTTTTAGTTCTTGATAGTTGGGGCTAAATTGTCTTGCCAACAAATTACACCCTCTGCTTTCCTCCTGTTGCAGGTTTTATTAGCAGTTCTGTAGCAACACATTCGTGTAATTTATCCTTGAGCCTTCTCTATTCTGTCTGTCTTCTCCACGGGATGCCTCTGGGCAGATACTTCTGTAATGCCATAAGAATCTGGAATAGTGCCAGGAAGGTGGAAAAAGCAAACAACACACTGGTTCATTTTCCAGAGTAAAACTAAGATGAAATGGTAACAGAAAGGAGGCCCTGAAAAGTGGAGCTGAGAGCTGGCTGAGCCAGGAAGAGCGCTTGCTATTCTTCCTGAGGACCCGGGTTTGGTTCTCAGCACTAACTTGTGATTGACAACTGCCTGCAGCTCCAGTGCCAGAGGATGAAACGCTCTCTTCTGGCCACAGAGGAAGCACGCGCATGCACGCACACATATAAAAAAATAAAACAGAGAAGTAAAAAGCATAGCGTCCAAATCCTTGCCCAAATACCACGTCTTCACTCAGTTTTTTCCTTATGCACAGACAAAAGCAAAAATTGAATGGAAAACGGTTAGACACGGACTGGAGCTGTCGCGTGGGGTCAGAGCTCTTGATTGTCTCATGAACGAGGCTGGGATTCTCTCCGCAGCAGTGCCCCGCCTCCACAAGCTTAAGAGTTCACACTAGAGATATGGTCTTTGAATGCAGAAAGGAATCCGGTCGGACTTTGGTCCCACCATCACCTCAGCATGTTCATCTCACACAGAATCCTAATCAGATTCCATGAGAAGCCTACAGGAAACCCCGTGACAGGTGTAAACCGGGCACAAAGTGGGGGCCAAGAAACTACTAGTGACAATGTCCAATCCCAGCCCTGCTTGGAGGGTAAAGGCGAGTACAACATAAATGCAGCTTGGTTGGTGTGTAGCACCCAGGAAAGCACAAAGTTTACAATTTAAAAAGAAAAAGGAAGAAAACCACAAGTATTTAAATGATCATTACATAAAGCAAACGAAAGGGAGCTTGTCTCTGATGACACTTCAAGAATCTCACGGTATCAAGTCCAAGCTGGTGCTGCCTTGAAGGCGTCAGTCAACACATGCCTTCTCTGGGAAGCCACAGCCAACACAGCAGCTTCCACAGGGCAAAGTGGGGGACAGCGACCTTTAAAGCTAAGGTGCTCACCTTCTCGCTGGAAACTGCGTGCAGTCAGACATAAAAGCCATCTGCTTTGTTCTCCAAGCAGTGCAGATATGTGAAGGATAGACCTCACCCTGAGCATCCTGTGGATGAACAGGGTGTAGTCAACAGCACCTCTGAAGACTTCCTGTCTGACCGCGAGGGGTGCACCCACACACTGAGACAATGGGGATGTTCTATCGGAACCCACTAAGGCCAGCTGGCCTGGGTCTGAAAAAGCACAGGATAAAACCGGACTTGCTGAACATAGCAGACAATGAGGACTACTGAGAACTCAAGAACAATGGCAATGGGTTTTTGATCCTATTGCACGTACTGGCTTTGTGGGAGCCTAGGCAGTTTGGATGCTCACCTTACTAGACCTGGATGGAGGTGGGTGGTCCTTGGACTTCCCACAGGTCAGGGAACCCTGATTGCTCTTCGAGCTGATGAGGGAGGGGGACTTGATCGGGGGAGGGGGAGGGAAATGGGAGGCGGTGGCAGGGAGGAGGCATAAATCTTTAATAAATAAATTAATTAATTTAAAAAAAAAGACTAAAAAAGACTTCCTGTCTGTTGTCCTTGGGGGTTATTCAAGATTGGGAAGATTACAGAGGGAAACTGAGCCCTAGCTATTCTATCAGATTTCCAAACACCGCAGGAATTGTAAGGGACCTCCACCTGTGCAATCACAGGAATCCTAAGGGACCTCCGCCTGCATGGTCCCACTTGATCCTGTCTAACTGGGAAGCAAGTGTCTCCCCCATCTAAGAACCGAGAGACACGTTAGGCATGCGGCTAATTAGTGACTAAGAGGCCAGGAACCAAACTTATCCTTTGCAAGGCTCTTTCATAACTTACAGCTTGTTGGATGGGAGAGTGAAGAAAAGATGGTAATGGAAAAATAAAGCTGGGTGATATTAGGAAGTATTTCCTGAATACTGTAATTGGGATATGGAAATCAAAATACCAGTAATTGCCCAAGAGGCTGGAATGCATTTGAAATGTAAGTCTGGGGACTGAGGAGATGGCTCAGCAGGTAGGGAATCCACTCACTGTGACAGGCTTGCACACACGTGCACATACGTGCACACACACATGTACACACATGTGCACACACACACACTCACACCGAGGCAAAAAAATGAAAGGTTTGAATTTTCATATGAAAACTGACTAAATACTTTTTATTGACAGCAGCCAGGGCGCTATGGGAGATATAAGGAAACCTCTTGAGGCGGGTGTCAGTAGGATAGCTGACACAGTTCCGGGACATTTATCAGGGCACAACACTTCACGGGGTTCTGTAACATAGTTTATTGAATACCAGATGCCTTTGACCATAAGTTGTGGGATTCGGGGGGGGTCCGTTTTGTTTTATCACCCAAGACAAAACAAATACAAAACCAAAAATAGACACCCAACTCACTATCAATTACCAATTAAATTATGATGCACACAAATCATAGCTTCAGAGACGATGTATATTCTTAGGTATCAATGTTAGTCACATAACTGTCAGAGACTTCCCTTCTGAAGGCAGCCATTTCCTGGCTAGTTTCCTTTACTGTGAAGTATTGTTGTTGTTGTTGTTGATGATGATGATGATGATGGTTTTTGTTTGGTTTGGTAATTTAAGGTTTTTGTTTTGCTTGCTTTGTGTTCTAAAAGAGTACTTCATTGTAGCCCAGGCTAGTCTGGAACTTACTGTAGAGTCCAGCCTGGGCTCACACTCCTGCCAGCCCTCCTGCCCAACTCTCCAACTACAGGGTCAGTAGACATGAGGCACCACACCTGGCTTGGAAGCTTTATAACATCATGGAGACCACACACACACACACACACACACACAGACAGACACATACACACACACACACACACACACACACACACACACACACACACCACTTTCTCTAACACATAGTTTTACCATGGAACCAGGTCTGGATCTCAGTATGGAGGTCATGCCAGCTCCAAATTTGTGTTGCCTCTCAGCCCTTTGCCTACCAAATGCTGGCATCACAGGCGGGCACCGCCATGCCAGACATGATTCTTCCTATTATCTCCCAAGCTGTTGGGGTCCTTTCAAGCACCATGCATCCACATCTCCTTGTGCTCGCCATCTCCCTCTATCAGTTTAACATATGCAAACCTCACATAATGGTCTGTGGTCCATTTGTAATTAAATTAACTTTTATTCAGGGTCAGAGATCTGGATCTATTTTTATTCTTCTTCACATGGATACTCACGTTCCCCGGCACCAGGAAAGAACAAAATGCTTCCTGTGTTTGCATGTCAGAGCAATCTGTCTCATTTTGATTTTAGGACATGTGCTGTTGAAGCAGGCATTCTAGGGAGAGCTCAATTGGGTAACATATATGTTTGGGTGTTTGAGACAGGGTTTCTCTGTGTATAGCTCTGACTGACCCGGATCTCCCTTTGTACACCAGGCTGGCCTCAGACACACAGAGTTCCCCTGCCTCTTTCTCCTAAGTGCTGAGATTAAAGCAGGCACCACCACCGTCCATCTCAATCAGTTAATATTTTTAACATACTGGGGCTCAAATGCAGGCTCTAGCTCTCTACCACTGAGATATATCCCTGGCCTTTGCTTTTCCTATATTAAGTGTTTATTTTGTGCGTGTTTGTGGCACATGCATGGAGGTAGCAAGACAAGCCACGTGTGACATCTCTTCTCTC